CCTAGTTTTCGAGAAAATCGAAATTTTAGTTTTTCGTAGTTCCGCCGCTCGCCGCTAGATGGCGCCACATGTACCGTTTTGGACCGAATTCGACAAAAATTGATTTCCTGACTTTATTAGGCATCAAAACGCATCAAACCCTAATAGAAATTTATTTCCAAATGCCTCAGGAACCATACTACATCGCCAAAGTGCCGAAATATTACACTTTGCATACGCAGTAGAATTGACATAGGCAGCTCATGTACGTATCGCAATGCTGAAGTCTATGAGGATCAGATTTTTCGGTGATCTATTCGTTCGTGGCCAGTCCGATTAAAATTTTTTTTTCTATATCCATCTGGATGTACATACGCATGTGCATGCAAAATTTGATGAGAATCGATTGAGTGGTCCAAAAGAAAAAACGCGGACAAAGAAGTTGCAAAGTCAAGTATAAGAATCAATGACTAATATGTAATTGTAATTTAGTTTTTTCGATGACGCGGAATATAGATTAATAGGAAATAGGACATGAATTAATACAAAGTGAAGTATAAGAGCTTCGCTCGCCTTCGGCTCGCTCGCTCAATATCATTAACTTAGTTTCATTAAAATAAGATTATAAGACAAACGATAACCAAACTATAATGTTCAAATTAATATCTGTCAAAAATCGATAGACGTGTTTCGATATTTGTGATCTTCTAATTTCCAAATTATATTTTAAACATTGATTGTCACATTGAAATCGCGTTGCACGAAGACACGGCGATTTATTTGAACAGAATCGAATTCTTGTAATTTGACGATAAGAAAATCAAATGATTAGCTTCGAAAAATCATTGTATCGATGTCAATGATTGGGACAATGGAAAACAGAGATAAAATTTATACATATACATAAATGCAATCTTCATTCAATGCGCTTTTTTCTTTTTTTCTTTGTTTACTTAATAATAAGGTTATTTTTATGATTTTTATCAAACCATTCTGATCGTGAAAATTTCTACGAGTTCTGATTTGAAATTCTGAACGAGACATCGACCAATTCGATAATATTGAAAACAAGTATCGGATCGGTGCTGTCTTTATCTAGGAAACTATACGTGGTCTGCGTTTGACATCTGCGCATTTCTCACACTGCTCGGTGGAAAAATCAAAACAATCAATATGGCGGACCCGAACAACGAAGCTGTACCGTCAAGTAGCGTCTCGGACCAGGCCCCCCCGGCTACTCCGATCCGCGACGATCTTGAGAAAATAGAAGATTTTCTCGAGCCTGATAAAAAACGTCGTAAAGTGTCACGGAACGATGGGAAAACCGAACAGAAATTGGAACACCGTTTGGGTGGCATCCTCTGCTGCGCAGTTTGTCTCGATTTACCCAAGGCAGCTGTTTATCAGGTAAGTTTTTTACATATTTGTCTCAATATGTCGTACATCGTATAGTATATACGTGACACTTGAATATAATATGAATTTATAAATACGCGTCCTATTGATTGATGTTTCAACGTTAGCGATCGTTTCTGTAACGATGTCTATTCTTTGCGTCCGACATTTTTCATCCGAGGTCGATGGATGACTTCTTGTTATTCGTTCAGATATGTACTTATATACCTACATACAAGTACGTACAAACGTTATTAAATAAAATAATATTTCTAACGGTGTTTGATAACATACTGTGCATCGTAACAATTTGTTGACGTTTCTTCGTCTGAAATCGTCTTTTGTTGTTTTTACTTATATCTGTTTTGTGGCGGTGGACGCGAAACTTACGCTTGTATCGATGTTAATAAAAAAAAAACATTATCAATTTTCACTGTTATTGTTGAAGTCTACATACGTTTCTTAAATTGCGGAAACGGAATAGTCGAATCGAATGAAAATATGTTCTGACAGATATTCATGTTTAAAAAGTAACACAGAATATTCTGGACTGTCTTTTATTGTTTGTCAGTTACAACTTGTTTTAACAATATATTTTTTTTTACCAGTTTCAATTAATGATAGCCATTAATACTACTTCATTTCTGTGTTAAATTCTTTCTCTCTCACTCTTCCCATTTTTCTTACCCTCCTTTTCTCTTGATGATCGCAACACATTTTTACATAGTTTATCCTTATGATAAGACTTTTTATTTTTCTAATATTTGCAGGCATACAATGTTGATGATTATATATAAAATATAGTTTTGTTTAAGTTCTGATTTTATAAATATTTAAGAAAATTTCAAACTGTTTTTATTATTGTTAAAACTTAAAAATTATTTATTAGTATTGTCTTCTTTAAGATAGTAATAATATAATTACAGGTAGGTAATATATGTTAATCCTAATAGAAATGGTATTGAATACTTGAGAGAGGGAAAACAGATGTATGAAGAACAGCTTTTAATTTGCTTGTATATATATATATATATATATATATATATATATATATATATATATATATATATATATATATATATATATATATATATATATATATATATATATATATATATATATATATATATATATATATATATATATATATATATATATATATATATATATATATATATATATATATATATATATATATATATATATATATATATATATATATATATATATATATATATATATATATATATATATATATATATATATATATATATATATATATATATATATATATATATATATATATATATATATATATATATATATATATATATATATATATATATATATATATATATATATATATATATATATATATATATATATATATATATATATATATATATATATATATATATATATATATATATATATATATATATATATATATATATATATATATATATATATATATATATATATATATATATATATATATATATATATATATATATATATATATATATATATATATATATATATATATATATATATATATATATATATATATATATATATATATATATATATATATATATATATATATATATATATATATATATATATATATATATATATATATATATATATATATATATATATATATATATATATATATATATATATATATATATATATATATATATATATATATATATATATATATATATATATATATATATATATATATATATATATATATATATATATATATATATATATATATATATATATATATATATATATATATATATATATATATATATATATATATATATATATATATATATATATATATATATATATATATATATATATATATATATATATATATATATATATATATATATATATATATATATATATATATATATATATATATATATATATATATATATATATATATATATATATATATATATATATATATATATATATATATATATATATATATATATATATATATATATATATATATATATATATATATATATATATATATATATATATATATATATATATATATATATATATATATATATATATATATATATATATATATATATATATATATATATATATATATATATATATATATATATATATATATATATATATATATGAACACTGAAGTCTATTCGTTATTTGTTTGTTGTCCTTAAATATATTTATGAAATTTAAAAATTCCATATAACTATAAAATATTAATATATACAAGGTATTTTATGGACTCATCTTTCGCGATGAAATTTCAGAACATTTAATATTGTGGTAAAGATAATATTTTTTTTTTATAGTTTGTATTGTAAAGTGATATCATAATTGCATTAAACATAATTATGCATGCATGTCAAGTAATTCTCGCTATGATGTAAATTTATGCGAATTTTTAAATCGTGCGAAAAATAAATACAGGTACTATATTGAAAGAGAATTATTGTGTGTATGCATGTCCCAACAATAATCCTATTTTTTTTTTTTATTAACATTTATTTGCAGAAATCCTTCTACATTTAACTTTGTAGCATTTTATTTCATCTGTACTTTATTATATTTTGTTCTTGATTCTCTTTTAAAATTTTATTAACAGATATATATACATATCTATGTATATGTAACATATATAATATTCAGTGTCCTAATTCAGTTTAATACAGTGGTAAGAATGTGGCGTTTATTCTGTCATAATAGAAATGCATACATGTAAGTTATTTAGTGCTTGGTTCAGCGCCGTACCACTTTTATTTTCTACAGTATGCAAGTTTGAACGTTGTATTCATGCATTTGTGAACATGTAGACATTATACGAAACATTTGATTCTTATAAGTATGCAGAAATCATTTAAATTTTAACTTCAATCTAGTCGATACTCTAATGAAAATCAATTAGAAAACTTGAAAAGAAAAAGTTATTTAAGTCAAAAAATTTTAGCCTCTAGTACATAATATAATACAACCTTTTTTATCATAAAGTATCATGTTTATTGTAAGAAGTAATCAAAACGGAGGAAACTTAAAAACTAGTTACTAGGCAAAGTTATTGTAGACCCATGCGAAATTAATGTTTATCAATTATAATAAATAGTGAGAGAGTGAGAGTGAGAGAGAGAAAGCGTATTTCCAGAAAATCTGTATAACATGTATAGTTGGAAAGCATTAAACAAAATAAATATTCTTAAAGGTTATTACTTAGTTATTTCACATACGATACCCTTTTTCACTTTTCCTATGCATCATTGTCCTTTTCTCTTCCTTTCTATTATCAATATTGGCAGCATTAATGACAGTTGCTTTGATGATATTCACGTTGTTTTAAACCTACCGGTTTTGCCAATGATTAACTTGAATTATTAATAGTGTTATTACAATTTTGTGTTTCAGGTGTAAAAACATCAAATCATGGTAATATACGTGACATTAGTTTTGTTATTATAGATTGATCGTTGTAAGGGACGTATATATTTGTTACAGAAGTAAAAACTGGTATGAGAGCTTGTGCAAAATAGAAAATTGTTGATTCTTTATACGTAATGAAAAGATGTACATTTTATTTTTTTATTATTTAATACTACATATTACGAACAACATAACTTTTGCACATAGCTATGCATACTTTGTGACAAACATTTACTGTAAGCTGATAAAATTTGTAACAAAACTACGATTATATGTTAAGAAATGTTGAAATCGAAGAATGCTAGTAAAACATGCTGCAACAATGTTCACAGTGTACAAATGGACACTTGATGTGTGCTGGTTGCTTCACTCATGTCCTCGCAGATGCCAGGCTACGAGATGAAATGGCAACATGCCCCAACTGCAGAATCGAGATTAGCAGGACATCGCCATCTCGAAATTTGGCAGTTGAGAAAGCTGTTTCTGAATTACCAGCAGAATGTCAATATTGTGCGAAGGAGTTCCCACGAAACTCCTTGGAACGTCACGAAGAAACAATGTGCGAAGAAAGGTAATCGGCGTTGATAATTATATCCGAACAAAGTTTGTGCTCATCTTGTTTGTTCTATGTACACAGAATATCTAGCTGCAAATATAGTAGAATTGGTTGTCCATGGCGTGGACCTAATCACGAGCGGCCAGAACACGAAGCACATTGCGTTCATCCTCATCGTTCAGGACTGGACGTTATGGAAGCATTACGCGATATCGATGCCCGTACACTCGAAGAACGTAGGCTGTATGACAATGTCTTTGACCTTTTGTCCTACGAGAAAATCACATTCAACGGTCTGTATCTGTTTCTCGTGCATTAAGACTCTGTAATTCCTCTTTAATCTTATTTACATATTAATCATAGAACAAACATTTGATGCGTTGTTCATAAAATTATATTTTACATCTTTGTTTTCTGCCTTGTTTAGCAGCAGCAGGGACAATCCTTTTCATCATACGATTCACTTAAAATCGCATTTGTCTATATTTTTATCGGAGCGTTGAATAGATTAGGTCTTCCATCATTTTCTTTTACAGACGTAGGAAATAAAGAATGTAAGCTATTTGTAGAATTTCGTTTGTATAGATTTACAGATGAAGCCCTATCGTACAGACGAGTTCGTTCATAAACTGTTTTATGAAACACCTCGTTTTACGGCATTTAATAATCATTGGGTTGTAAAGGCGAGAATTAATAACAGCCAACGCGATCCTACCCAAAGTTCAGAGAGGGACATGACTTACCAAGTACGTACAGACGTTAATGCGTAAACTCGCTAAATTTTTTAATGAAAAAAAGAAAGAAAAAGTAAATTGAAGTGATTATTACGTGTACTCTATAGTTGATTTTAAAAACGAAAACAACGTATCCATTACCGCTACATTATTTCATACTGAAAGGACCTTTTGGAGATATGAAAGTGCAACCAAGAATTCATAGATTCGAATTCACTGACCAAGAAAACGAGAGCCCTTATTTACCCTTACCTTTACCTGATACTGCAGAGTGCAATAGACTTCTTGCTGCAAGAGCTATTAGTTTCAGGTAAGGCCGGGTTTAAAAGAAATAAAAGATATTTTCGAAGAACAAAATTTTTGATAAATAACTCCGTTTCTGTTTCAGACTAATAATGTTCTTGGCATCTAAGTAGTCGGACACGATGATCCTTGTTGTCAAGATTTTATGGCGATCGAATAATTGACACATCTTTTTAGATTTAACAGTGATAAAACAATAGATTACACAGAGGTTTATAATCAATTATTAGTAGCCTTTAATCGTAATAATAATAATTCAACTAAAGATGCTAATTCTGCTGTAGTCTATACGCGTATTACATTGAAATGATACACTGTGTTGATACGGACTAGTATAACACGAAAAGTGTAGCGTATATTACACACACACACACACACACACACAAATACTTGAAAGAAAGATCAAGTTTAGTTTTTTGTTAAATTTCTTTCGGAAACATTGCCAAAAATTTGAGTTAAAAGCAAGCTTTGCGTAGATTATTGTCGATTAGACACGTATATTAAATTGCGAGCATCGATACATCGCGCAGCTGTGACACGATAGAAAAGGAAACCGAATCTGACATTTCGTTAAACAGTCTCGGAAAAATCAATTTAATGTACGTGCCTGTCGCCAAAAGCCTATTAAAAAGATTCTTCTATTTATATAATAAATTAAATGTTATCGATGTAAAATCCTGAATTGATATTGTAATAGAAGAAATTTAAATAAATTTATTATAATTACGTCTTTTTAGTGTTGTCGTTCGATCATTGAACATCATAAAACTCGCGAAACGTGTCTATTGTAACTCGGATAAATTAATAAATGTATTGTTATTTGTTTTGGGCCCGTTAACGTTGTTGGGCGGGAAAATCAGCGGATTTAGATTATTTTCCGGTGTAGTGACGCTGTGTTTACGATATTTTGGACTCGGAGGTCTTGGATCAGGTTCAGAACAACCCTTTAACCAATACGAAGTAACTTTTCCTTTTCCTTTTAACTCCACCTCTCCCCTCAATTCCAGATCGAATGTTCCAAACTTGTCCAATATGTATTTTGTTGCTTCTGACACGTGTATACACAAGGCTGCGTCGAACATAGAAACGAAATAACATCGTTATCGCATCGACCGAAGTTGAATTTCGTTCGTTAACAATCGTAGCTTACGTAATCCAGAGGATTCCATTCTCGACGCTGTGTTCACTGTATCACCAAATAGACAATAGTGTGGCATCTTTTGACCCACGACACCGGCACAAACTGGACCACTGTGTACGCCTATTCTAACGCTTAATTGCGCGTTTTGCTTGTGCATTATCGTGAAAGAGCGTATCGAGTCTAGAATCGCCAAAGCCATTAAACCAATTTCTCTGGCGTGTTCGTCGCCGTTTCTTTCCGGTAGGCCTGACACTACCATGTACGCGTCTCCTATTGTTTCCACCTAACAATCGTGCGAATACGTGTAAATGAAAGCGAACCGTACTCGTAATATTTCGAATGTATAAACGATACCTTGTAGACATCATAGAATTCAATGATACGATCGAAGGTACTGTACAGATCGTTAAGAAAATCGACCACTTCCATGGGGGTGCTTTGCGCGCAAAGAGCCGTAAAACCAACAATGTCGCTGAAGTAAATAGTCACGCATTCGAATTGTTCCGGTTGCACCAGTTCTCCGGCCATCAGTTGACACGCTACTTGTCTGAGCAATGACCATGATAGCGTTTGGATTAAACGGTGCTTTGTTAGTAACCTTGGAAGTACTATTACCTGGAAAATTGACAAATTACCTTGGAAGTACTTGATACAGAAGCTCTTCGCTTCGTCGTTTTTCCAAGCTCAGTTGTTCCGTTTTTTCTTCGACCAAGGCCTCCAAATTGTTCGCGTACTGTTCCATGCGCCTCAACAAATCGTCCATCAGATTCTCGCAATAACCTCTAAAAGCGATAAATTAATTTGATCGGTCAGTTAGCGCAGAGACTCTGTGCTCCACGTATAATAATAGGGAGTTACTTCATAATGCCGCGTATAGTTCCTCGAATCGTATGAAAAGTAGGCCGTTCCTCGGGCATCTCGTGCCAGCATCTCTCCATCAAAGATAAAATATCCGGTGGACAGTCCTTTGGTGTTACTTCCGGTCTAAACGGTGGTGTTTCGGACGCGGCAACTTTGCTTACGATCTATGCGAAAACGAATCGAAAATGTAACGAATCTTTTAATTATAAACGCGAGGCTTAAGGGTAACGAATTCTTCTTATACTTCTTGAGAAGATATGAACCCCTTGACAGTTTCGTATGGGCCACCTCGAACAACGATTTCCTCTAAGATAATAGCGAAGCTGTACACGTCCCCTTTTTGAGTGGCCACGCTTCCAGGTGTTACGATTAATGGCAACAGTTCTGGCGCGACCCACAGTAATTCTATCAGGGGATAATTGTGAAATGAATAAGCCCTGATTAAATGATTTTCATTTCTACCTACTGGTATAGTAATTGTCATCCATAACGAAATCTGAAGGAGTCGTAAGGGTTTTCAGACCAAAGTCCGAAATCTTCAGAACGAAACGACCGTCGATCAAACAATTGCAGGATCGTAGCTTTCCGTGGGCTGAAACTTCGCTGGCATGAAGATAAGACATTCCCTGTACAAGTATAAAGATATAAGCGTATTATTTCTGAACAACCATAAAGCAGAGTTAACGAAAGCGCGAGAAGGGACGATCGAAAAGAACGCGAACGAGCTTTACACCTGCACTACCTTTACGATGTCGTGGATCAGAGACATTCGAAAATTCCAGTCCAATTTTATAGCTTCGTTTTCGAGCACGTCCTTCAGGGATCCTCGTGGACAGTATTCGGTCAGAATCAAGACCGTCGGCGAGGGCGAACAGAGACAAGCGCCTATAAACCTGAACGTTTCCTCTTTCGAACCTGAACTTACTTACTCGTTACCTATGCTTATGTATACTTATATTATTACACGTACCTGACGGTATTTTCAGAAGTAACATCCCGTACCTGTTTAATTTCCCACAGTAGCTTCTTCGTAACGTCGACTACTTTTTTTTTCGTGATTTTTTTAATGGCAACCCGTTCACCTTTGTAAATACCAACGGTAGTAAATACCGTGGTTGGCGGCAGCGATTCATAGCTGAACTGCGATCCTCGACGAATGCGTTGTTCCGAGTCAAAGTTCTATAACGATGGACCAGTTGGAAATCAGTTGGAGTTTACCACTCTTAGGCAGATTCACTTACATTCGCATCGGACATAGCCTGATGCAGATTGATCTTGGACGAAAGGGGTTTTCCTATTTCGAGTAGCAACTCTTCGGGCCTAATTCTCCAGGACATGTTGTTCAAATCAGCCGATAAACGTAAATGTCTGAGAAAATAAAGAATCGAATTTCGGAAGATACATTTCATAACGCGATCGTGGATGAATGTAAATTACAATACCGATACAGCACACAGGTCGCTGTGACGGCAACGAGTAAGAAGACGGTAAGGGTCAAGCCGGTATAAGCGACGAAAGTGTACGCTTCCGTTCTGGAGGTGCAAGCTGGATCGTTTCCCAAGAAACCGCATTCTGGAACATCGGCCGGTGGACCCTCTCTGCCACCGGGCCAATGGATCTTTTTCCCATAAACTGGACTGTATTCTCGATTCAATCCCAGATAATGAGCGACCACCTCGAATCTGTGAAATTCGTCGTGGTTGTTTCTGTATAGCGCGGCATCATCGACCGATCGATGGAAACAAACGCGTCTAATTGCGCTCGCTTTGCGTGGACAAGTATAGGAACGAGATCGAGAGGAATCCCGGTAAGTTATCCAACCGAATTCCATCACGGCGTATGCCCTCAGAATAGAGGTTGATTAGCATTGCAAACGGATGAACGAATGGCTGGCTTAATTGACGCTGACCTTCCCGTGATGGGATCCAAATCCAGGATACTGTAGTCCGCATCACGGTCTCCATTGTCGTCGATCCTGACGTGTCCGGTAATACCAATGAAGTCTCGGTCCCACATCCTTCTGGTTATCGATATACCGTCTCTGATATCTCCCCCTTGAGCCAAAGTCTCGTTCAATGCCATCCCCAACAGATAGACGCCGTCGTAAAAGGCTCCTATGAAGAAGTTTACCTTCAAAAAGAAACAGGACGCTAGTTAGGCATCTTTTATCCGTTTAGCAAACGATTTATTCTACGTAGATTACTTCTTCGCCTTCCGAAAACGAGTAATTGTAATCCGTGAGAGCTCTTTGACGGACGGTTTCGGCGAAATCTTGAAATCTTGGACTGGTTGGTTGTAGAAGGGACACTCTCAACAAAGCTTCGTACGCTTTTCTAGCTACAGCATCGTCTTCGTCTCCGATCTCCCAATCGTGGTCACCCCAATACGATCCCTAGTTTGTATTCGAGTTAATCGTAATTGATCCGAAGAATCGGGATTATTCGTTTGATTTACCTGAAATATTTCGACGTCGAGAAACGCCCAGTCGCCTCTGGTCATTTCCAAAGCGTGAGCAGCCAGCATAAATTTCCTGACCAGAGTACCTCGGACGCTAAGAATTACCACTGCGAACACCAGATGCGAGATCATTTCGTGTCCTTTATTATTCTGCAAAGATACCTACCTCTCGCGTACATACTGGCATCGCGCAAATAGAATTGATAGGGTTCGTCTTCCGTGTTCCCATCGAGTTCTCTGACAAATTTCAACGATCCTTCCTTGCGTAAACCGTACTCTAAGTTTTTTCCAACTGTCCACGAGAACAGATCGGATCTATCCAGCAGCAGGGCCACGTGAGACCATCCGAATTCTTTGAATATACTGGAGAACACCAATCGGAGACGACATTGACAATAAGACATCCTAGTCAGGGTGGGATATTTGCTTTTGTCCTTGAAAATTCCCTTGAAAAGAAATATGGGATAGTGAAAATACGGGATGATCTTCTTCGGATGCACCTAACGAGCAGGCTGACTAATTAAAAACGCTAATGGCCTCGTAAACACGAGGATAGAGGATCAAGCTTTCCCTGTTCATCGTGTCGAGGATACGTATGCACGCGATAATTAAGCAATTAACCCGATTTTATCTTCTTACCGAGCTCTCGTTCTTCCATTTATTGATCCTTCCAAGGATACCTGAGGTTACGGACAGTTCACCTTCAGAGGGTGGCTAGGTCATTTAGAAAATACATCAGAATTATCGATAAATGTTCGAAACGTTCAAACCTTGAATTTTTCTCGACCCTTTGAGCGCTACGAGTGTTGGAGTAGCAGAGTACATGTTCAATATTGCGGTTCTTTAAATTTCATTTGTATCGCAGATCGCAAAGGGTTAACAAGACGAAAGAAGCATACTTGATCACCCATTCCTGTGATTATAGGAGTGTTCCAGTAAGCTGCGAGTCTTGCAACAGGTTCAAGGGCAAACGCACAAGCCGGACCAATAAACGCGATCACGTTGTCTCTGAAGTGCATATCGGCTGCTAAACCAGGTGCTGCGGCTCCACTGCAGGATGGATAGCTAAGGACGCAACAAAAATCCTCGAAAGTTCTGTACGAATAATTATCCGCACCTGTCAAATTTATACCGTTCAAAGGGCAAAAACAATTCCTATCTAGTTAGACATATCGCTAGAACTCGAAAGATTCGAACGAACGACGATAACAATTACGATCGATCGAAATCCGTGTAAAAGCTATCCAAAGTAGCAGACAAGAACAAACAACGGCTGATGTATTGCAAGGATATTGAAAGGATCATCTATTTCGACGCGACCTCTTTCGTCAATATTTACCGTTAACCGCTTCCTTCTTTCAGGAATGCAATCTTTCGGCATCGTGTTCATTATTTTCGATCGAACGATCCGTTTATCGATCGCAGAATTAAAAAGAGGAATTCGCGACAATACTTGGAACGATCGCGGCGCAACAAAGAATAAACGGCTCTATGGACATGTTTTATTCGCGAGGAAATCCAGGCTGAATCGATGGATAATTGTGTCGCTTCGAGTGTAAATAACACGAAATAATTATGGATTAATAGCGTAGGTGAATGGGCAATGATTGAATACCGTTCGACGCTCGGAAAATTATCCTTTACGAGGATTTTTGCCACTCTCTTCTTCTCTCGTTAACGAATTCGAACCTAACTACCCTTGTTACTTTATCTCCTCTGCTTTATTCGATAATCAACATTTGCGATTCCTATATTGGATACTTAATGTTTGATATTCGGAATTCGACAGTTGATATCAACAATTGTTAATCTCCTATTTTCGTTTAAAAATCTTCGAGTTCGTAGGATATTTGTATGGCCATTGTTGTTTCGTTTAATCCTTATCGCACCGTAGTCAGCGAATTTTGTCGTCGGATATTGGGTGAGCTGTTTTTTGTGCGCACGTCGGTTCAATTGAATTAATGTAATGACATGGAAACGGTGAAAACGCGTGGTCAGAAGCGAATCAATTTACGCAGGGTCACGCGTATGCGTATTTAGGACATATTCGCGTACATGTTTTTTTTATTTCTTTCGCACGGTCTAAACACAAGGAAAAAGAGGTATACAAAGACTCACCTTCCTTGTACTTTGCGCAATTGCACATTGTGAACGCTCAGAAAGTCGTTCACTTCGGCTAAGGCTAGATCGACAGCTGGTCCGCATCTCTCGAGATCGAAAGGACTATTCAAATGAGAAGCCATCAGCACGCCGACGTTGTACACTCTCGGAGAATATTCATAATTCGCTGGATAATCAACAAGTATCGTTTGTATAAATTTAACTAAAAAGAAGTTTAGTGTCGTATTAAAGGCTTCAATTCGAAATTGTGATCGAAAGAAAACCTCCGGTGCCCTTCGCATCCATATACATCTAATTCGAAGTATAAAGTATGTGAAATACGATTACGCTTTTCAAAATGAAATTTTCGAATTTTCTAATTGTGCGTTATGAAACTTCGAGATTTTTTAACTTTGATATATCAGAACTCCGAAGGTTTAACCCATGAATAATTTTTAAGGTACTTTCTACTCTCGATGCCTTAAACGCCTGCTCATGAAAGTTAATTCTCCCTTGATCCCAGTCATCGCCTTCGGTTTACTTTTTTTCTTTTTTATAGGATCGATAAAGAAAGAAATATGTACATTTGTAAAAGTGTCGTGATTCAAACAAGTAGAAGAAGTCATCGTTGCGCCAGCCGTCGAAACAAATCGCGCAGAAAGTACAATTACCTATTCCATTCGTTTGCGCAACTGCTCTTGACATAAAAAACAGAGTCGTTGGAAGGGACGAGTCATAATCATTTTTTTTAGCCTGATCACAAACAGAATTCAACCCTTGCACGGAAATATATCATTCCTGTTTGTGCTTAACACGTTAACCGTTAGAATCAAGATATTCACGATGCATGTAGATTACTTGGGGCATTAAGGAGTTATTTTTTAATTACAGAACTTCGATTTTAGCTGTTCAAAGAATTTTTTTTCTCCTCTTTTTCTGATATTTCTAAATATACATGTATATTCCGTTCAAATTTAGTATATAGTACAAATGGATCATAAAAAAATGAATTATTCGTGAAGCCGGACATAGGAAACCTCCGTGGTAGCCACCGCGTTAAACTTTTGTTTCTACCCGTTGAAGAACATTAATCGACCAACGGTGTTTCGAATGTAAACAGATTAAATATATCAATTGTTAAAATTGTGTATCGGACCCTTACCTGGTGAAACATCGATGAGGCACAACGTTTGATAGATCACCGCAGTTATTAGTAATTTTACACTCACAGAAAACACGTGTTTACGTAAAGTGTTTTCCATTCTTTCTTTCTTGGTTATTTTAATAACGCAAAACGTTCCGTTCCATCGACATGGTTCGTTTTTCTTCGAGCCAAAACCAATTGCAATTTATTTTTATGGAATAAGAATTACGTGACGGATCGCCGGTTAGGACACATCTAAACCATTCTTGAACAAGATCCACCCTTATATACCGATTGATGTAACGCGGTTCTATCGCCGTATCACGTGTTTGTGAAAAAAAATTTCACAGTTTCGGCGTCTCAATGTCACACAAGAATTATTACTATATTCTGTTTTAAAGAAAATTTCAATATCGCGATCGGATTAACCAGTGTCTAAGGAAAATAAACTGCTCGGAATATGTGCATTTCGAAGATTTTAGTACATGCGCTTTGATAACGGAAGACCACGAACCGTGTTCCTTGCATCTACGCATGCCTCGCGTTCTGAATCCCCTCTCGCTGTTTCATTCAACGAGTACAAAAATTTATAGAATGATTAATAAATGAAATTGGTTGTTCGACGTTAACGTTCATTTCCATTTGCTGGAAGAACTTCGGTATTTGCCAGACGAATATTCTTTGTCCTCTTGAGAACACAATTCTTCGTCCAAAAGAAGTTCAAAATTTCCCAGTGCTTCCGGTGTTGGACACTTGTTCCATTTTACGCTAAAAATAATCGAAATTTAGTTCAAGAGACGACAAGGTATTAAAAGAAACAAATGCTCAACTCACTCTGGGATACCATCGGGTGGTACAACAATTGAAATAATGTTATCGATCAATTTATATTTCAATATCCTATCGTTCACCGTTGTGGAAGTCAATGAAGGTGATGCATTCACCTGAAAATGATCGTACCCGAGTGTGCACATAGATATATGTATACGTTTGTACGAATATGTAAAAACCTCGATAAGCCATGGCTTCAGATCGTTATCGATGATGATGTCGTAGCCATAACATTCGAAGCAATGTCGATCGGTAGCCATAACCGCGGTAACTGCTTTCAAAGAGTGCACAATGCACCACGTGATGTTAGCGAAGAGTTTTTCGGTAACCGCTTTTCCACGAGTGCTCTCCAAATACAGTCTCAAATTATGCACGCTAAGTTTACCTCCGTGTTTACTGTTATATTCTTCCTACAACAGAAACCATTTTTTTTACAGATTCATATTTTTCGTTTTCAGAGAAAAGAAAGAGTACGTATACTCACGCCGTGCTTTTGAACAGACACATTGGTCAGATGTACGTACATGTTATCCAGCTCTTGTATGCTAGTGTCATATTTGACCGTACAAAAACGGCAAAATCCAAGCTTGAATAGGTAAGCTTTCAATGGACGAAATGAAGTAATGAGAACGTATAATCGTAGATCGAATTTTTTACCTCCGATCAGCAGAGGATTATCAATATATCTGCGTGTTTAAATTGAATTAAAATCAACTCTTTAATAACTAAACTATCGTGATCATGGCAATGGTTTTTTGGCAGGTTTTAACGTATGTACCTGGATATAACGTATGATTCTTTCGTCAGATTAGGATTAAACGGATTTTTCGACTCGCGGGACCATCTCTTTAATTTGCTTAATTTATTAATTAGAAATATCCCCGCACCTTGCGATTTCCCGCAGGGCTTCATGATCCATGTGCTCTGAGGCGATTTCCGGTACTCTTCCACAAACATATTGTAGTCTATAAATTGTACATATAAACATTTACAAAATATCGATGAATTGATCAATTAGTTTAAAAAATATATTGCCTGCTGGTAAAACGAATGTGACTGGAATGAAATCGAGATAGAGATATTTTCCCGGCCCGTCGCCTCTTTCTGCAAGCGGATTTCCTTCACGCTCTAACTCTTTCCGGTACCGTTTTATGTTTTTCACCAGCAGATCTTTCCTCGTTAATTCATAGTGATTTGGAAAGTGATTAATAATTCTGAAAAATATTACAGTAAACTTAAAAAAACTGCAAATATGCTGTATGGTGCGAATCAACGTTATTAACGTCTCGACTATAGTCAAATAATTTCCCGTTTGTCGACTTTCAACAATTGTTTGTTTGCCACTTATTATTTCGGAAGTAATGGAGACGTTAATAATACAGAATTGTGTAAGATACGAAATAAATATCTGACTGTTTATCGTCCATTCTGTATCCAGTTTCGACGCTAAATATATTTCTGCAAGACTGTGTAGCTGCCCTGTAACGCAATAATAATTTTAAAACAATAAACAAATTTTGTTGTTTCGTTAAGGAAACAAAATTAATACCAATAAAAGTTCCAATCGTCTTCTGGACCAACTTGAATCCAGCCCCTCTTTTCGAAATTATGGACTATCACAGATTTGTCCACGTCCGTGCAAAATGACACTTTTGTCTTGTCTGTTCCGCTTGCGAATATTCTGTAAATGTTTAAAACTTTACTAAAAGAAAACAATCAGCAACGAAATAATCCCTTTCCTTCTTTATACAGCGGTTCGCGTTTCTTCTTATTCGATTTCAAAATATTTTAATTGTTAATTTTCTTGTTTACCGTTGTTTATTACCTGCCATGATTCGTAGATATGTTCAAATTAGCGATACGTTTACTTTCCGAAACTATACCGGACGCCATTCCTTTTGTTAAATCAATTCCTCGTGGATACACGAATTTTTGTCTATTTCGCATTCCCGCTATAATTCAAGTTCTAAACATCTGAAGTTTGACAATCTCAAAAGTCTAAGTGTCAAAAATTTGTTGAAGACTCGAAGTCTCAAACAGGGTCGGTTATTTCCATAAAAAGATCCGAGTATGGGATATATGTACATGTTAATGACAGATCAAACAATTCCACACAATGGAAAGAAATGACACATCTTTTCATGAAAACGTTAACAATGATAACGAAAATAGAATAAATGAAATAACAGAATAAGCGTCAACGTTTATATAATAAATTATATATATTATATATTCGTTTTCCTTTTCCGCGACTCTGTACAGACTCGGTTTCAAAGTTCGTAAGTTTCAAAATTTTTAAGACTCAAATTTCTAAAACTTCGAAATTGTAAAGTCCCGAAATTCTAATATGATAGCTAAAAGCCGTTAATACAACGAAGTTAACCGAGAATAACGAGTATGTTTTTATATCGATTAAAAAAATTCCTTATTTACCTTCTCGCCATGTTTACCAATATTGTAATATCCTTTCGACCTGAAACCGAGCATAATTAAGACGAATATAATTTAATTTTTGTTAGCAAATAATTAAATAAATTCTGGAAAAATTATACACGAAGAAGAAAACTTAATCTGGTTATTTCGTGACAAATCAATATTTGACTTGCATAGTTTATGTTTGTGGGGGAAGAAAACGATAGTATGTTTACACTCGCCTTTATTTTTCTTTCATTTTTGCCGGGAGAGCGATCCATGTGCTAGAAACGCATCGGTCTGTCGTCTGGCAAGACGTTTCTGACAGTACCTCTTCTCTTTAAAATAAGTCACTTCGTAACACCTTGAATTTGTATTACATTTTCTGTTGTTTTTTTTATGAATCTTCGGAAGTGTAACCACAATATTCTAGGATTTAGGATAATTGTGTAATATATTGCGTTTCAAAGGACGTGTTCGGGATTCCATTGTTTGGAAATATAAGATATCGAAGATTCGATCAAGAAAGAAATACGACAATAAAGAGTATTTCAAAGGTATTTCTTCTTTTTATTTTTATTCGTTAATAGTATTTTTATTTTGAGTAAACTTTCTAACAGTTACAAGTGCGCATTATTTTATTAAAAATTTTTATTTCGCGTTATTAAGATTATTTAGTTTACTTTAAATCACACGAATTAAATGTTAAAAAGACATGCACCAAGATCATTATTCGCGAGCCGGAAATTAAACGTTACTTAAAGAGTACTGAAAGCGGCGCGATTGCAACGAGTGAATCACGTTTGCGCATAGGAATTTGTGCCATCGTTTTGCGATTCAAAATGTGTGTGATATATAATTATGATCGCGAAAATGTAGTTTAGAAAGTACCTAGTAAATTAAACTAATTATTTTGTGCTCTGATTGCTGAGATGTTGAATATGCTTTGTAAACAAAAATAAAACTGATCAATCTGTATCATATGTATAATTTACTAAAGAAGCATGTTTGAATAATTGATCCAGGAATAAAAGTTTAAATGAATTTGGATACAAAACCTGGCAAAATGAATTCCGTGAGAATTGGAAAAGGAAGAGGAAGAGGGACAGTCCATAGTAAGATACCGCCTGATAAATGCCTATGTTATAGGCCGCACTGTTTTGTATTATGCAATGTTTGTGGATTTTGGACAAAAGGCAGAGTACGTTATTTTTGCCCTATTCATCCACAGGTATGCTCTGCTGATCTACAATTTTTTTAATCATAGTACAAAGTACTGGATATCCTTTGCATTCTATTTAGTTTTTTTTTTTTTAAATTAATATCTATAATTTTTCATTTATTTTTTTTTGTAACTTTTTTCAGACAGTTTTCTTGTTTGATATTACGCAATGTCCTCAGTGTAAATCTTATGGTCATATGTTGTCAGAATATTGAACACTGGAGACACTTATGTCTTACATAAATATATTTGTTTTGTTATAAAAATATGTTAAGTATTTCTTGTAATCGATATATTTTATTTTGTGTTATTATTTCTAATTAAATAATACATTATCAAATAGAAATGTTCAATATTAGTATTAAGATTATATTTGTAATTAATGTAAGAATATGAAAAGAAAATAATACATATTGATTGAAATCAATTTTATTTTATATGTTGTTATGCTAAGAAAAATACTACATCACAAACCAACTAGGAACACAGGGTGTTTTATTATGTTTCGTAAATTCTTTATATGCTTGTTGCATTTCACTTTTATAATTTTCTGCAACCTCCTCTTGGTCCTTGGTTGGAGGAAACAGCGATGGAAATGTAAATGTTTCATCTTTGGGCTATAAATATATATATTCTGTTAACTTATTACCTACTAATATTTCTGACAATAAAGTAAATATCATGGATGCAGGTGTATCTATGATCTACCTGTAAAGTGTGCTAAAATTTCATTTACATTATTTTTATTACATATTCTGTATTCTGTTTAATCGTTTAATTGCAAATTGATAATTTATTTGGTAACATTCATTATGTAAACACTAGATATATAACTAGATTAGATATTTGGTCAAAAAAAGTTTTACTGTACAGAGATTCGCAGCTACCAGATTACGCTAACAAATTTACAATAATGAATTTTGATGCATCATAAATACACAGCATCGGTAGTTTATACATAAATATAAATAAACATGGTTACTTACTAAAGTGACATAGGCTATTTTTATGTCGTCTCTTTTGTAGACAGTTTTTTCAAGCATATACGTTTTTCCAAGAGCAATTCTAGTACATACCTTAATAGGATGCACATCATAAATCTTTTCTAAATAATTCTTTACATCGAATTTTGTCATTTCCATTGAACAATGAAATGTTACTACATTCTTTGGCTGTTTATGTTCTGGTGTTACAAGTTTCAACCAAAAATTTGGAAGAAAAATTCTAAGCTGTGGATTGCCTTGTTGATATAAAGGATACCTAAAAAGTAGTTTAATAAGTTGTACAATAACAACAATTACCATTTCTTAGTGAATATTTCCTGCATGTATTTACCAACGGGTTGACATTTTGTCGTTATTAAAATTATTTATATGTATATACTTGTCACAGTAACGACAGCGAGTTCGCTGTTGAGAAAGAAATATGAAGTATATTACATGTATATAAACCAAATGATATCATTTAATTATAACATAGTAAGGTTATGATATAACTTATACCGATACAAAAGTAGATGGCACTGCATAGCACACAATACCTCATCGATACCGTGATGAACCTAAGCTACGAACAGAATATGTTTGTTTCAATTTCAATTTAATGTGATTTAAGCAAAGTTTTTTGAAATATGACTTTTATTAAGAATATCTTTTAGTTTTTTAATAAACAGAAATTTGAATCGTTTCTGAATTGTTGAGCAATTTTATTTCTAAAACAATTTCTTTCGCAACTTTCATCTTTTAAACGCGTTGCTTCGTGCCGCGTTATTTTATAATCGAAATTGATCGAAATCTATAGACGTTTGAATCGATAATCGACTTCGTAGAACTTTCAACTCTTGAACCGATTAAACGTTTTAGACAGACGTTCAAGTGTGTTTCGGCTCTGATTTCATTATTTGGCTAAATTAACAAGAATATGGTTTACGACATTTTTTTGAAAACGAGTCCATCTTGATAACGAAACGCGTCTCGGAAGCAGTAATCGAATATTTTGGGATTAAACCAAACAATTTCCAGAATATTTTATTAAAATCGTTTCTAATCGAAGATGAGCAGCGATTTACTGCCGGAATGGTTAAACCTGTTGCTAGATGACGTGGAAACTAATTTATGTTTACCGATATTATTGATTATGATTCTCTGTACCATCCAATTTATAATTAATCATATAGTGGACATCGGGTGTACTATTTATCAAAGTATAAAGCAGAGTTCAAGCGAAGACGACGATTTGGCTGAAACGGAACCGGGCGATAGTCTAATGGATAAAATAAAAGGTTTTCTTTTCATCTACTCGACTTTGATAAACGTATGACGTTTCTTTATTAAAAAAGAAAAAATATTGCATAAATCATATTCAAACCACCAGTTCATGTTCTCTGTTAAGTAGAAAATTATTTTATTGATCAAGTTCAGTTCATTTCTCGGTGATTTTCTAGCATTGTAGATAAGAACTGATACTTGACACTTTTTCCGCCATTTAACTTCATTAAAGAAATAAAGAAACGAACATTCGATGCTTGAATTTTTGTTATTTCTTTTAAAAATTGAGTCTTGATAAATTGAAAGATAAAAGTTCGGGTAGGTTGATTTGATTATTTATTCTAGGGTTCATATGCAATTTGGCTTTCACTTCTGAGAATAATGATTTAAAAGTCGAAGAATCTTCTGCGTCACAGTTACGTAGACGCCATTCTCGTGAAGATGAGTGGGACTATTGCGAAGAGGATGACAATTAACGAAGAAAATTATTAAATATATTTTGTACAATGATATACTATTCTTCGATTACCCAGACGTCTCGATTAGCACATTATATTCTATAAATCTTGGAAACGTTAATATAAAAATGGCATTGAACTAAATAAACAATTTGTTAAGACGAATAAACGCGATGAAATTAGGCAGTAAATAAGAGTGCAAATATGGGATCATGTTAAAGTTATAATTTTTTACCAAAGGCAGCCCATCAATTATTTAAATTGTACACATGTAAAGTACAAGTAAGTATTTAAATTCTTTATAACTTCGTAATGAAACGAGAGTAGAGAAGCTAACTAGTACATTAATTTTATCCCACACCTGGTATATTAATTTTTGTTAAATGAACGAAGAAGAAAGCGATACTCTTCGTAATACATTATAAAATATTCTTACCTTTGGCGTTTTATAATAATTGAATGATTGTTTGTCTTCTTATCTTCATTCGCAGGGAGCACCGTAACGAGTACCGATTCAAACGAGCAGAAAGTTTATTAAAAATGAAATTTAGTCGGTTCTACTGAAAGGGCTATAAGGATCGCTCTGAAAGTTTTGAGAATTTAATCGAAGAGAAAAAGAAAAGCGATATTATTGAAGATTTTTTAACTCGAAGATGACAAATTTTGGGATTATAGAAGTTTCGCATTGTGGCAATTAAAAATTTTCCAGCGAGTCCTCGGTCCATGAAAATGTGGGAAGTGGTAAGTTTCCGAATTCTGAAAACTTTCAGCGTAATCGTCGTATCAAAGAGGATTCAAGTAATAAATGAACCAATTTCATTCTGTTTGTTCGATACTTCGTCTCTTTTTAATGAAAACTCATTCAATGTTGTGAATCACGTGTAGAAACAGCGTATCCGAACACTCGTTGAGCTCCATAATTAAACCTGGTAATTCAGTGGCGTCGTTCGTTTCGAAATCGTCGCTTCGCGTGGACATTATCCGTTATGATCCTAAAACCGTTCGTACTCGGAAAATTTCGATCTCTCGTTTATATAATTACCTTTATTTGGACACTGGCTTATCGATTCGTATTAAAGTTAAGCGAACGAGTTTCTTATCCATTACATTAGGACAGTCCCACCTCGTAGCTATGCACATAATTTTTTTTATATTTTATTTTAACCGTCTTTTTTCTGACAATATTATTAATTGAAGCGCCCGCGAAGCGCGTTTTAAGGCTGCGTGTTTCTTTTCTTTCCTCTCTTTTGTCACCTCTTTCTTGTCATAATTTGTTCTATGTTTTCGTGGAAACTATGCTTCTCGAGGGAATAGAGTACACAGTATGAAAACTCATGGTTCCTTTGAAGCGTTTATTCTTCAAAGAACTGTGTGTCTTTTGTTATAAGTATACCCCGGTGGGACATAGTACGAAAGAGATTCAGTTTTTTGCGAAGAAATACATAATAAAAAGACGAAACACAATTCTTTTCGTAAATTTTAACGAATCTATGCTTTTTATTTTTTTAATACCTATTCGACGATGCGACGATTTAAAAAATCTGTGTACATATTTGCTTCGTGAAATTCCTGTGTATTCTTTCGCGAAGAACTATCTCCCTTTCGATTATTTCATCTTATAGAAGATGTTCATCGAGAGAAAGAGGCAGTGCAATCGCGTATGTTCCAAGAATTCTCAGAATTTCATCGATGAAATCGCGATTTCGCTCGTATCGCGTAATCTAGCAACGATAATGGTAAGAAGAAGAGTATCAGCAGCGATAAGAGTATTAATTAGTGTTACAGTAACGGTAGTTATAATGTAAACGATAGAAATCTAGTGTCTTTCGTCACGACGAACAAATTCGCCGTTGAACTTTTGAAAAGGAGCCTGGCCTCGTTCGAGACAGCTTCGTTGTTCGAAGTACGCGTCTTCTCGGAGTATGAAACTCTATGCTCGAGTTCTACATGTAACTTTTGCTTTCTTCTCTTGTCCTCGAACGACGCTTCTGTCGTTCCATTTTCGTTTCACTCATAAGGATATGACCTTATGATTCCTATGTTTCCATACGATATCCTTCAAGATCAAGGTTGCCCATCGATTTTCGAGTCTCGATCGAGTCATATGTATTATCTCTAAGTCTCGGCGAAATTTAATCGAAGTTTCGTTCAACTCCCGGCCAAGCAAATCTTGTTCAAGCTTTATCCGAGTTTTTGTCTAAGCTGTTTTTATTGAAAATAGTTCATTCAAGTCGCTCGTTGATCATACACCTTTAAATCTTCTCCAAGAAGCTCGATCGCTTCGATCTCTCATCGCCCAGCAATCCTATTCGAAACTATTCTTACATTCGACCATCAAAGTACCCTAAAATCTTGACAATTTCATAATAAACATAATCATTCTTAATCCGGCCGTTAAATACTCTAACCAGATCCTCGCTAGATCATTCCGCCTGTCTAATGTCCGTTTATAAGTTCAACCGTGATTGCAGCGTCACATGAAAACATTGTCCAGCCCGGAAACGTTTTTCCTGGTAGGCGTGGAGGTGTTCATTCCTTCGTCCTCGAACGTGACCATCTTCTCTCTGCTTCTGGTCGCCGTTCCTGAACATTCTAACAGCCTAGATTGATTCGACGAGATCGGATTGACCGTCGAGGACAACGGAGGCGTGACAGCGGAGGATGGTCGCAGAACGGAAGTGGGTGGCGGCGGCGGTACCGCCATATCGGTGACCGCAGCAGCGGCCAGATTGAACTCGCTGACGCTTCGGGGCACGAAGTACTCGAAGTGCAGGGAGCTCTCTTGTTGACGGTGTTGATGATGATGCTGTTGATGATGGTACTGGGTGGGCGACAAACAACTTCGCCTCAATGATTGGGCACGTTGGAATTGCTGGGTCGAGGAGTTTCTAATTTCGGAGGGTGTCTTCTTGCGCGGCAGGGAATGATGGCCCGGTGATGGTTTTATGGCAGTGTTGGACGAGTGGGCCAGGAGCTTCCCGTCACCGGGACTCCTGGCCTGATGCTGTCAGGATGCTGGCACCATGGACATGGCGATTGCTTCTTCTTCTTGCTCGGACAGTCGCGAATCGCTGGTGCCTCCGCCATCGTCGAGATCCCCTTTGAGCCCAGGACTGGTACCTGCTGGAACATCGAACCACACGTCAATCTCTCGAATCAAGCGTTGCGTTGTTAATTCGCGATCAAAAATGGAGGGGTTATGCAAAGTGGTCAAGATGCCCGATCGAAATCCCCGACGCGAGTGGATCAGAACCGCTTAACGTGCAAGCGAATGATTGATCGATTCGATGTACTTTGAGCCCGGTCTTTTTATTTTCGACGTTTCGTTAAAGATACTTTGTTACCGTTGTTGGCCTCGCAGATGCAGAGAGAGAGAGAGTGAGAGGGAGAGAGGGATACTTTAAAATTTACATAACGCAAGATGTCTCATGTAACTAATTGGTTAAATGTGAATGTACGTATTAAGGAGAAATTTTAGTTAAGCGTTAATCGGGTTAGTTTCGGCCGCGTAAAATAACATTTGACTACGAGGTAATCGACTGATTCGACGACGTCGTAACGCATATAAAGAACGCGATCGAGGAATACACGAGAAACCCCTTGTACGATCCTGTTAACAGTTGGATTTTCTTTCAGAATCAACGAACAACTTCAATTTAGACAATGGACGATATCGTTGCCGGGCTCAAAGCGTTCGAGTCACTAAAGCGGTGCCAGGAAATTTCTTCTCGGCCGAATCTAGCGGTTCCCCGTCGAATGCCTGCATCAGGGATACCTGTACCACCGATAGGTCCGACCACCACCCCCGACGACATGCCGCAGGTTCTACCGAAGACCCTGACCACGCGTACCACCTCCTCCTGGACGAGGTTGAAGCACATGGCGATCAGGCCCATCCCGGCGAGTATGTAGAGCGAGCAGGCGCACAGGCTGAGCTCCTCCAGGGTGGTGGAGGCTGCGTTTCTTCCTACTGGCATCAGGTCCCCGAAACCGATAGTTCCGAGGCTAGTGAAGCAGAAATAGCCACCTTCCAGGAGGCTCCAACCTTCCAGTCGATTGAACATGACAGCGCCGCCGCATATGTAGATCAGCATGATCACCAGACAAAGACTGATCGGTATCCTGACGGCGTTTGTCTCCACCACGTAGCCCGGAGACGAGCTAGTCGACAGGGACAACGAGCAGGGGTGAAAGTGACGTTTACCGTTTCCAGATCCTGCATCCTGAACAAAAATAAATGACGATTACTATTCTTCTTCGAGGAGATTTTTGATTAAGGAAAAGGATTTACCTGGAGGGCGGCGGTAGAGCTCGTGGTAGCATGAAGCAGACCTTCGCTTCCACAGTCGAGCAGGATCGCGCTGCTGGTGCCTCTGGTTCCCAAGTCGTCGCAAGAGCTCTCCCTGCTGGCCGAGTAGTAATTACCGGTCTTAGAGTCTACGTGGTTGTCGTATCTGTACGTTTTGCTCATGATACCGCCGACTGGTGGAGGCGGAGGAGGCGGTTGTTGTTTCCTCGCGCAATTTCGTGGTCTACAAAGCCGCCCGTATAAGCGACGGAAGCTCCTCGAGAGTACGTCGCCGACGGTGCTCAGATAGACCAGCATCAGAGGAATCCCGGCTAGAGCATAGACTATCGTGATCAAACGACCCCAGACCGTGCGAGGTGCCACGCTGCCATACCCTAGAATCATCGATAGAATACCGTTGCAACGTCGTTCGATAGATCTAGTGGTTCAGCATTAACTTAATGGATGTATTTTCTGGTAATTTCGATTGTGGTTGAACGCACGCGGATCGAAGACCTCAAAGTTCTATATAGCGGACAGCTTACCGATAGTGGTAATCAACGTTAACGAATACAACAGGCTACCGCTAAACGTCCATCTCCGATGCGGTCTCCTCTCCATCGAATGATCCCTGGATCGTGACGATGTTCCAACCGGCTCGTACTGCGAAGAAGTTCTCTTTAGACCACGCGCCAAGTTTTCCTGAAACTCGAAAACTTCTCTCGCCGCTAGTCGCGTCCAGTTCTCTTTGTACAACACGTTCAAATCCTCCGTGATGCTCCAAAGTCTTTCGACGGTGCGAGCCCTCAGTTCCATGGCTGCGGCGTCGTCCTCCAGACTCGGCACCACGTACGTTCCCTCGGATTTCGAGCCGGGAACTAGCAGGTCGTTCGTTGAATCCTGCGAAATTCCATGATTCTGGTATTTCAGTATACGAGAGAAAACGAGTGCGCGACGAGCGAAAGCCAGGCTTACCGACTTCAGACCTCCTTCTAGAGCCATGAACGCGAACGCTCCCAGCAACGTGTAACCTAACACGAGGACGCAGACCCCGAGGCTGGCCAGCAAGCCCGGTGTCTTCGTGGACGTCGCGGTGCTACAGCTACAGCAGCAGCACAACAGTTCCGCTCCTCTGACGGACGCGCTGATCCTTAGCGTATCGGCGTTGGTATTTTGGTTCCTTCCTGGACAACATCTTGGCGCCCTCTGATAGTAATCGCCGGTGCCCTGCATCGTTCTGCCGTTCTGGTTAACCAGCCGCTACCGCCAGCGTCGTCGCCGCAGCTGCAGCTGCAGGTGCAGCGACCGACGCCGCAGCTGCAGCCGCAACCGATCGCCTCCTATCGTTCTACTATTCTCCCTCGAGCCTCGTCCATCTGGTGCGCTGGCAAGCCTGTAGCACAGATTAGTCGTGATCCCATTAGATGTCAGAGCCCTTCGTCTCTCCGCCTAATGGGCCTAATTGCTCCTTAACGGTAATTAAGCCCTTCCGAGGTAGCTACCGGTGTCTTCGTCGGTGCTGACGAGTGCGTTTCGGATACGTGTCATCCGAGATGCGTCTCCGAGGTAGTTCGCCAACCATCGGCTCAACGAATCAATCGCGATTGCGGCGTTCGCGATGGTTATGGGTTAAAATTCCGATTAGACGAATTTTTATCCCATATTAATTCTGCTTGTATATTTTCAGGGACAATTGGAGAAGAACGCATCGACTTAAGTACCGTGAGTATAATGTTTTTAGACCGTAACAAATTTATTACGACTCGAAGTATATGCTAGTTCGTCGATAGTTTACTCGAATGTTCGACGTATTTCGATTCGAAATCCTATTCTATATTTAAGGCGTATCGATTTCAGATAACCAGACTTTTAGCGAGATTTTTCTCAAATACAACGGACCAACCGTAGCTCGTGTGCAGTATCTCGTTCGTAGAATCCTCTTTCGACGAAACAACGTAGTTAGGATTTTCGCACAGCAGGCGACGCCGTAGAGAAAAAGAAACATAAACCTCGAGCTAGGAAGTCTGTTACACGCGGATCTTTGATGCTATAACAAGAACTTTTTCTGCGCGATACTTCGAAGAATCTTTCGAGGTATGTTGGATGTCTCGAGTATATTCCTGATAAAGTACAGTCAAAAGTAATCGTAGAGCAGGTAAATGCAACTGTCATTTTTATTTACAGAATGAATAATCGCATTTCGCAGCATGAAAAGCACGAAACATTTAAGTCACGAAGGCAATACTTGGAGGAGAAATTTACGTAGCCAGCGTACCAATGGAGCTTGTGCTTTCATCGAATCGTTAGAAAAATTTGCAGTCGAATGGTGAGTAGCGAAATTAATGATTTTCTGTAGAGGGAGCGTTCCGTCAGAGGAAGTTAATAATCAAGCAGTTTAATTTCCCGAAATAAACGTCCCGTTTTCGCGCTTTTAACCAGCTTTCAACGGTACAGAACACTCGGTCTGATAAAGCGATCCTGTCCCATCGTTTCGTACGCGTCGAGTCACGTAGCGAACAGAAATAGCCACAATCGACCTCCAGCAAACGTGTCCGCCTCCGACACGTTGCAACAGCTCGTACACTCGCTTTATAACAGATGTACTTGTACAATTCCGTGTCGCTATCGGTGCCCGGACTGTGTACATGCTACGTAAACTACTCTCGCCGTGCTCGTTTTAATACACGCCTACGTCTGTGAATCGTTTCTCTATGTATCTCTTTCGTCTTTTTAACGCGCTCATTGTAAAACGAGTATGTAGGAGACAATTGGGGTTGATACGTCTCCAGGATAGGTACATAACGCGTTAAGATAAATTTTATTTTCGCGTTAAGAACGCGAGGGTAATTTTCGATTCGAAGAGGGAATCCTATGCTCGATGGCGAAAGGGCATCGAACGATTAATAAATGGATATTAAAACTCTCGTTGTATCGTCGCGTGCACGAGGAAAATTCGGTAAGCTGCTCTTCCTGCCTCCGGTCTGTGTTACTTTAAGTGATCTAGCTTCCGACAAGCACGGCTTGTGCGGTTACCTCTTGATCAGCGTTCAGTAAGTTTCCAAGCAATCAGCCTTTCATTAGGTCTTAGCTAACTAACGTCTTTGATGATATCGGGCTCCCAGCGATCACCCGATTAGTAACTTTGAATCGCATCAAGAAATCGATGCAACGATGAAAGTAATAAAAAGTCGACTTTTTAGAATGCTTACGGGAATATTTCACAGCGGAGTATAAATACCCGCGTTGCGTGTTTTCTTGTTCGCGTGTCAATCACCGTGTAACGATGTAAACGAAAGAGAATCGATAGGTTGCCAGGGGGTTAGCGATCCGTGTATGTAAATAAACGTTACCCTTTGCTTTCGATTAAAAGAACCGACACGAAAGAATCGTACGATTTCCCTCGAAAATATCCTAATTGCTGCGAAGATTTTATTCCGACGAAACGCGTTGCGTGCACGTATAGAAACATAATCTGTATCGTCGTAGTTAATTGAATTTAGAAGTACACGTTTTGCTATTTGCATAGCCGTCACTTTGCAAGCTTAGTTACCGCATGCTCGGTTTCGACAAACGAACAAATGTGTACAGTTTCTGTTCTGTTTGACGCCGTAACTCTCGTCTATTTCGACGTTGCTCTATCGATAGAGATAACGTTACTCGACAGAGATTCGTATTACGAAATTTACGCGATTATTTGCAAAGGTGTACGTCTCGTTAATTTCGACGAAGTTTTCGCGTTGCGCCGACTTAGAAAAGAAATCAGGATGGAGACAAAAAAAGTTGCTTTATAAAAAACAAAAAAGAAAGAAAAAAAGAACGCGTCGAAATAGTGGCCGAGTAGAGAAGAGGGGTTGGCGAAGAAGACATCGGTGACAAGGAGTGTACACGTTTTGTAGCGATGTATGTGGGGCGTGTATACGAGGAGGGAAAGATAGAAGGATTCGCCCCAGTTGAAGCATTGTACCGTGGTTACCAGAGATAAGGCATGAAATTAAATTCGACGGAATGTGGGTCGCCGTGTCGTCCTACGGCGACGTCCACGTCGGCGCCTAGCGCCGTGAACGTGCATGGACGTCGACCAACGATATTGAAAATAACCAAAAGGTAATAACGACTTTAAAACGGTACATATTTCCTTCTTTCGATATTCGGCCTTTAAAAATCTTTGCTCGTACGTTGTAAGATCACGATCGAGTATCACGATCACGCGGAAACTTCCGTTGCGATCGAATCAGGCATCCGTTGGCACGCGAAGGAATCGCATTCCCTCGGGTGTAGGGCAGTTTAATTGGAATTGATGCAGCCTGCCCGTGCTATAATCGACGACGACGTTAACGCGCGTAACTAATTAACGCGCCAGGGATAAGCAGAGTGAATCGCATCTAAGCAATAGCTCCCTCGTGGCGCTAACGCGAGGATATGGAAACGTTAGAATGCGGACGGTGAGCTTTACTTCCGGTATAGTTGGCGGGGAAATACGAGAAGTACAATTGCAACGCGGGAGATTGGATTCGCGCGACGATACAACGCGATGTCGTACGGCGTCGAACACGCGAGATTTATGTAGAAAAATTTATCGATCCGACTCCGAACGAATATTTTTCTGTCCGTTTCCACGCGTGACTGTTCATCCGAGATTACCCGGGAGGGAAAAGTTGCTTCTTTCTTCGCGTTACTCGCACGCGACTAAGGGGAGAGAAGTCGACGTCGACGAAGAAAAAGCGCCTGGACAAAGACGGATCGGTGGCGGAAGTAAAAACGGAGAAGATAACGAGCGACAGCATGTGGAAAATGAGAAGGCCAGCGTGAAAAAGTAGCTACAAAATGAGCCGTAGATGCGACGATAAGACGATACGGCGATGGGAACAAAGGCAGAGAAAATCTAGAGGGACGAAACGCGATAGATACGAACGAAAGAGATCAAACGAATACGGATGGTTTAGGCAATCTTTTTCCCGAACATTGGACACGAAGAAAATTTCCGATTCGTTTAACGTTCCTTTTAAAACTTTAGTTTCATCGAGTTTTCTCAACAATCGATAATATTAAGGTAAATGAAAACGGCAGTGCCGGATACGCGTCGATACGAAAGTGCATGGACGTCGACCAACGATATTGAAAATAACCAAAAGGTAATAACGACTTTAAAACGGTACATATTTCCTTCTTTCGATATTCGGCCTTTAAAAATCTTTGCTCGTACGTTGTAAGATCACGATCGAGTATCACGATCACGCGGAAACTTCCGTTGCGATCGAATCAGGCATCCGTTGGCACGCGAAGGAATCGCATTCCCTCGGGTGTAGGGCAGTTTAATTGGAATTGATGCAGCCTGCCCGTGCTATAATCGACGACGACGTTAACGCGCGTAACTAATTAACGCGCCAGGGATAAGCAGAGTGAATCGCATCTAAGCAATAGCTCCCTCGTGGCGCTAACGCGAGGATATGGAAACGTTAGAATGCGGACGGTGAGCTTTACTTCCGGTATAGTTGGCGGGGAAATACGAGAAGTACAATTGCAACGCGGGAGATTGGATTCGCGCGACGATACAACGCGATGTCGTACGGCGTCGAACACGCGAGATTTATGTAGAAAAATTTATCGATCCGACTCCGAACGAATATTTTTCTGTCCGTTTCCACGCGTGACTGTTCATCCGAGATTACCCGGGAGGGAAAAGTTGCTTCTTTCTTCGCGTTACTCGCACGCGACTAAGGGGAGAGAAGTCGACGTCGACGAAGAAAAAGCGCCTGGACAAAGACGGATCGGTGGCGGAAGTAAAAACGGAGAAGATAACGAGCGACAGCATGTGGAAAATGAGAAGGCCAGCGTGAAAAAGTAGCTACAAAATGAGCCGTAGATGCGACGATAAGACGATACGGCGATGGGAACAAAGGCAGAGAAAATCTAGAGGGACGAAACGCGATAGATACGAACGAAAGAGATCAAACGAATACGGATGGTTTAGGCAATCTTTTTCCCGAACATTGGACACGAAGAAAATTTCCGATTCGTTTAACGTTCCTTTTAAAACTTTAGTTTCATCGAGTTTTCTCAACAATCGATAATATTAAGGTAAATGAAAACGGCAGTGCCGGATACGCGTCGATACGAAATACATCGTTAAAACGGAGCGACCGGTTCATTTTCGAAGAATATGCTTCGAAAATCAAATAAATGCTTCCACGAATCGTTAACCTAAATCGAGGGAGCAACAGCTAGCAACGTTACAAGAGACATAAAGGAAAAAGAGCGACGAAAGCGCGGAAGAGACAGTGAAAAGGAATATATCGAGTGAACAGGTTAGAATGTGGTCGTGGTACAATCGAGAACGCGGTAACACCGCGTAACGAGTTAGCACAACGAAGCGATGCGAAGCGAAGCGAAAGC